CCCCAAAACCCCAAAACCCCAAAACCCCAAAACCCCATTCCTTAACTATATATAGAATTTTTAATCAGAAGGGAATAATAATAAAATGGAGAAAGAAAGTTATAAAGACAATGATGAAGGAGGCCTCCTCTACCACAAACTCAAAAAGCTCATCTCCGTAGTAGACGAGCTTAGAGATGTTGGCTTACAACAATACATTAACTTGCCAAGAATAGCAGTCCTCGGGCAGCAGAGTTCAGGAAAATCCTCAGTCCTCGAGTCCATAGTGGGAATCGACTTTCTCCCAAGAGGATCAGGAGTAGTCACTAGGAGACCTGCAGAGCTCAGGCTTGTCCACGTAGCCGATGATAACGCAAAGCCATGGGCTGAGTTTGCAGAACTCAGAGGCAAGAAGTTCTATGATTTTGATGAAGTAAGGCAAACAATCGATGTGTTGACCGACAAGATCGCAGGAAAGAAGAAAGGAATAGTCGATAAGCCTATTGTTATTAGCATCCATTCCCATACATGCCCAGATCTGACCCTGATTGATCTTCCTGGGATCACCAGAATTCCCCTGCAGGGCTCAGACCAAGGCATGGACATCGAAAAAGTCACGAAGAAGATGGCATTAAGATATGTGAAGGATCCTAGGACCATTATCTTAGCTGTCATCCCAGCTAACGCTGATATGACTACATCTGATGCCCTCCAGATGGCAAGAGACCTTGATCCAAAGGGAATCAGAACCATTGGAGTCATCACCAAGATCGACATCATGGATAAAGGAACCAACGCCAAAAGAATGATCATGGGCCAAGAAGTACCTCTAAGACTTGGATATGTTGGTGTTAAAAATAGGTCACAACAAGACATTACTGACAAGATGAGAGTCTCTAAGGCTCTGAATGAGGAGAAACTGTTCTTCTCAAGCCACAAGATTTACTCCACAGTCCCATCAGAGAATTTAGGTACTGCTTCGTTGACCAAGAAATTAACAAAAGTACTCTTCACACACATTAAGAACTACCTTCCCCAAATTGTCAAAGAGATCAATGTAAAAAGAAAAGAAGTTGAAGAAAGATTAAGAGAGCTCGGTCCTCCCCTCCCAAAAGAGGGCGCTGAAAAAATGCAGTTACTCTGGAACATGGTCACAGAATTTTGCACTAATTTCAAGAACACTATCGGTGGTCGCTACATCAGCCAGCAAGACAAGACCACCAAAGGTGTCAGTGGTGGTGCCAGAATCAAGCACTATTACTACAAGATTTACAAGGAGTATATCAACGGGTATTCTGCAACCGAAGGATATTCGGATGTAGACATTGAAAGAGCCATCAAAATCCATGAGGGATACAGTATGCCAGGTTTCCCCTCAGTTGATGTGTTCATCTACCTCCTACAGCCCCAGCTGAGCCTGCTGAAGGAGCCAGCAATGGAGTGTCTTCAAGATGTCTATCTCTACCTCGAAAGTTTAGCTGACGAGCTTGCACACAGAGTTTTTTCCCGTTTCCCAGGATTGATTGGAGAAATCCTCGAAGTTGTCTCAAGATGCCTCCAAGAAGAAAGAGATAAGGCTAAGGAAATTCTTGAGTGCCTAATAGACTCTGAAGAAGGGTATCTCTTCACAAATGACTATGACTACCTCATGAACAGGACAGATATCGTGCCCGGAAATAAAGACGAGAAGAAACATCTAAGCAGCACAACTGTCTTCGTGATGGAGCTGAGACAAAGAATCGATGCCTACTTCAACCTGGTCATTAGGAACGTCAGAGATAGAGTGCCAAAAACAATTGGGCACTTTTTGGTCAAAAAGTGCCAAGATAAGATCCAGTTCCACTTGTACTCAGAAATCAATAAGAACTCGATGCTCAACAGTATCCTTGGAGAACATCCAATGATTACACAAGAGAGGGATGACCTGAACAAGAGCCTTGAGGTAATGAAGAGAGCTACCAAGGTACTCCAGAGAGACCCTGACATTACCAATGTCATCTCCTTTGACGATAAGTTAGAGAAAGATCTTAGAGAAGAGAGTAAAGATAACAGAGGAAGGCCTCCTCCACAGAACAGATCCAGGCAGGCACCTCCAAGAGCAGCTGAATCAGACAACATGTCTATTAGATCCAATGCAAGCTCTGGAGCTGGTGAATTCCGCCCACCAGGAGGCGATGGTAGCGCATATGACAGATCAAAAAGAGAGACAATGAATCCTCACATGGCCAGAGTTCAACAACCGCCTAATAATGCTCCACTTGCTCAGACCCAAGCGAGACCTCAGCAACCAAGGAACCCTGCTCCTAGGAACAACCAGCCAAGAAGTAATGCTCCATCAGACTTTGGAAACTTATTCGGAGATGGGGGAAAATAAATATGGAATAAATACTTATTATCAATTTAGTATAAAGCCTTAGGGGTTTTGGGGTTTTGGGGTTTTGGGGTTTTGGGGTTTTGGGGTTTTGGGG